GGATATTCTCCAATATCGAGGTCCTGCAACAGCAGGTCTCGGTATACGACACCTTACTAGACCGCATCGATGAAATCAAAACCAAGGTGCAAAGCCGTTGCGATGCAGTTCAGAAGTCATTGGCGGCATATACGTCAACGCTAGCACCCATCCGACATCTTCCCAGCGACGTTCTTCGATCTATATTTCGCGAGATACAAATCTCGCAGTGGCAGAACGCTGGCAAAGCAAAGCACAAAGATGAAGTGCTGGATTTTTCACAAGGTCCGTGGGTGCTCAGCCATGTATGCGGTGCTTGGAGGGATATCGTTATATCTTATCACCAACTCTGGTCGCATATTATACTTCACTTTCCGTATCATTCAATAGGCTCGCTCGGCGAGCGTCGGTTCCCGCCTCGTCACGGTTATACGATCGACGCACTAAAAGTCGTGATCCATCATTCGGAACGGTATCCTCTCGAAATAGAGTTTAATGTCGACCCTGGAGGCGATGAAGATATGGCCGTTGAAGCTCTTTCCGTAATTGCCGAGGAGTCATATCGGTGGAGGACCTTGAAGCTCCATACATTCTTGAGATTGTTGGAGCGGTTGAAGGTGGTTCGCGGAAGGATTCCTTGTCTGGAATCCTTTACTTTGAACGCTTCAGATATAACACAAAGCGGAAGAGAGGACCTGTTGGAAAATACTCAACGTATCTTCGCTGAAGCCCCTCGCCTTCAAAAGGTGACTTTACGTGGCCCCTCCGGTGTCGGGGATCTCATGCTTCCTCTTCATATCACTCATCTGGCGACATATGCAAACAATGCTTGTAACCTTGGAGTTTATCGGTCTCTCGTAGAATGCCATCTCATGACACGTCCCAGAGACGATCAGGATATACGATCCCTTCCTCTTAACATTCACCTTCCCAATGTCCGGTGCCTTTTTGTGTCATCGCTGCGAATACTGGCACATCTGTGCCTACCTTCCTTAAATAATCTCACAGTCTATCATATCAGCTCGGGCATTAATGCAAACATCCGCGACGTCCAGATCGTGAACGATTTCATCCGACGTTCTCGATGCTCCCTTTCCAAGTTAGTCTTCCGTTCATCAAACATTGACGATCAGATCTTTATCCGAGAGTTACTCTTATTCATGGACACTTTGGTGTTCTTAGAAATAATGTTCCTTTGGATCGAGGCTACCTTCGATGCCCTTGCTCCCGTTGGATTCCTCCCAAATTTGCAGCATCTACGGTTATTTTGTTACGATATAGCCTCATCCCAAGATTCCCTCGTCGCAATGATCTCTTCGCGTAGCCAAAAATTTCGTTCGGTCAAAATTTACTGTTGCGATCCTGTGGATGCAGAGTGCTTCAATCGACATATATCACCACTGCAAAAAACCGGACAGCACTTTATTGCTACACACAAAGGACAAAACCAGATAACATCTCAAGTGCAGTTTGGAAAATTCAGTCAGTCAGATTTAGATGTTCCAGTTGACCAATGACTTTTTCTCTATAGTACGTCCTCCTTTATGCGGAGATCTCCGATTGCTGAGATAGACCTTCTAGTCAGCTGCGAGCACGGTGGGATTAAGTTGGATATTCTAATGCGCGATTGTACTGCCCGTTTGGAGGCCGCGCGGCTTCAGTACTCAGTGGCCTTTGCAGAACTATAGCCGTTGACATCTACCGGCCCACAGGTCTCTGATGTCCTTTCCTTCCCTCCTAATTCAGATAAAAAGGATATACTTATTTGTGTCGGGAACGTTAAACTTGACAACGGGGAGTTCGCGTCAGAACGCTCTGCTCACAGCTTCATCCCAAATGATGGTTTTCACACCGAATATACAGATGATTTGAAGAACGATAACTCGGACTTGTCCAAACGTCAACAACCTAGCTCTTCATTTTGCTCTCCACTGAAATATCATCTCGCTAATCAGATCTAAAGAACCACGTCCCTTTGTTAGTATACGCCCCCGCTCATTCTTCTCGAGGAAGGACTGCAGCGTCCACTCAGATTCCTCACAGACTTCAGTAGCTAGAGCCAAGAGAAGCATCGATCACAAACTCCGACCGAAGTAGTTCGTGTACGGTCCGGCGACGCCGATGGTTGATCTCCTACCTCGAGTACTAACAGATGCCAGCTTCAAGAATATCCAGGTACGCTCCACTTTCCCCAGTGTTACAGAGAGAACTAAACAAAAGAATTAGAGAAACCATGGATGTGATGCTCCATTTGGATGCAGTTGCACGTTCCATACCGGAGCCTGTCTTCCCGCCTGAGGATCTAAACTCACACGTATCGGGTATTCTTCGTGCTACACGACCTCTCTTGGATACCGACCATGACTGGATATTCCCCAATATCGAGGTCCTCCAACAGCAGATCTCGGTATACGACACGTTGCTAGACCGCATCGATGAAATCAGATCGGGAGTACAAAGCCGTCGCGATGCAGTTAAGAAGTCGTTAGCAGCGTATGCGTCGACGCTAGCGCCCATCCGATGTCTTCCCAGCGACGTTCTTCGATCTGTGTTTCGCGAGATACAGATCTCGCAATGGCGGGACACTAGCCCACTAATACTATTGGGGCCCAAGAAAGTTCGCCGGGTATTAGATTTTTCACAGGGTCCGTGGACACTCAGTCATGTATGCAGTGCTTGGAGGGATATCGTTTTATCCCATCCCCGCCTCTGGTCGCATATTGTACTTCACTTTCGGGGGTCCCTTCGTTTGCCCGAGCGGCGTTCCTCCTCTTGTACGATCGACGCACTAAAAGCCATGATTCATCTTTCTAAACAGCATCCTCTCCACATAGTATTCGAACTCGATCGCGATGGTGATGAGGATTTGGCTGTCCGAGCTCTTTCCGTGATTCTCAAGGAGTCATGCCGGTGGAGGACCTTGCAGCTCCGTACTTTCCCGCATTTTTTGGAGCTATTCAAGGTAGTTCGCGGAAAGATTCCTTTTCTCGAGTGTTGCGCTTTGCATGCTATAGAGATGCCGGGAAGTGGCAGAGCGGCGGACGTGCCTGAAGATACCCAATGTCTCTTCGCTGATTCCCCTCGTCTTCAAAGGGCGATTTTACGCGGCGCCTACCGTCTCGGGGATTTCACATTTCCTCCTCACATCACCCATCTCGCTACATCTGCGAACAATGCTTCTAATCTTGGAATTTATCGGTCTCTCGTAGAATGCCATCTCGACGTAGATCAAAGAGACAATCGGGACATTTCCCTCCCTCTTAAGATTCACCTTCCCAACGTCCAACGCCTTTTTGTGACATCACTACGAATACTGGCGCATCTGTCCCTACCTTCCTTGAATAATCTCACAGTCTATCATACCAACACACACATTGATGCAAACACCCGCGATGTCCAGATCGTGAACGATTTCATCCGACGCTCTCGATGTTCCCTTTCCAAGTTAGTCTTCCGTTCATCAAACATTGACGATCAGATCTTTATCCGAGAGTCACTCTTATTCATGGACACTTTGGTGTTCTTAGAAATAATGTTCCTTTGGATCGGGGCTACCTTCGATGCCCTTACTCCTGTTGGATTCCTCCCAAATTTGCAGCATCTACGGCTATTCTGTTACGATATACCTTCATCCCAAGATACCCTCATCGCAATGATCTCTTCGCATAGCCAAAATCTTCGTTCGGTCAAAATTTACTGTTGCGATCCTGAGGATGCGGATAACATCAGTCGACATATAGCACCACTACAGAAACCTGGACAACACTTTATTATTACACACGGACCACGCGACGAAACTTCTGGATTGCAGTTCGGAAAGTTCACTCATTCCGATTTAGATGCTCCGGTTGACCAGTGACTTTTTATTTACCGTCCTCCCTTATTCAGAGACCTCCAATTGTTGCAATCGACCTCCTAGTTAGCTGCGAGCACGGTGAGATTAAATTGGGTATCTTAACGCCCGATAGCACCGCCCATTTGGAGGCAGCGTGGCTCCAGTACTGAGTGGTCTTTGCAGAACTACAGCCGTTGACATCTACCATCCCACAGATTTCTTGTGTCCTTTGTTCCTCTCTTAATTCAGATAGAAAAAATATACTTATTTGTGTAAGGAACGTTAAACTTGACAACGGGGAGAAAAGAGTGAGATTTGTTCGCATCAGGGCGTTCCTGGCTTTTAAATAGTGAGTCTCATACCGAATGAACAGATAAGTTGAAGAACGATAACTCGTACTTCAGGCCCATATGTCAACAATCCAGCTCTTCGTTTCTCGGTCTCTCTTGAATCACCATCTCCCTAATCAGACCTAAAAAACCCTGCCCCTTTGTCATTTATCCGCCCCCGCTCACTTCCTCGAGGAAGGACCGCAGCACTGTCCACTCAGATTCTTCACGGGCTTCGAGTGTAGCTAGAGAATCAGAATCGGCAATGCCTTCTCAGGATACGCCTACTGATGCATCAAGGGGGGCAGGGGCACGTTTTGGAAGAGGCGGTGGTCCTGAGAACGTGAAGTCAGATTCGCTCCGTTGGACGGTATGTCGGCCTCATTTCTCGGATTTATTACAATTGAGTGTTCCTACAGAGAGCTATGGTTTAAGTGGGCAATGGTATCCGGCATGTGGGAGGCACCAGAGTGGTCTTCAAATGGATACACGGACGCCATACTATGACCGTCGTCTTATAGTTGAGTGTCGTTGGAAGTGTTTTAACGGTCACGTCTACTTGTAGAGTACTCATGCTGAAGAATGGGAAGCCTGCAATGCATAATAGGACATCTAAGTATGATATTGGTTCAATATATATCTATCTGCCGCTCGGGCTGGAAATTCATGGTTTGCTCGATAAGTTAATCTTCCCACAAGATGGAACAATATACCTAAGTCACTGCAGCGTGTCAGATCGAGTTGACTGACCAATTGGATTTTTATCAGGCCGATCTACAGCGCTCAGTTTGAATCTTCAGATAATTTGCGTACACTGTATGTGGTTATATAGAATGTTATTTTACTTGTCTTAGAGTTGGTCCTACGTATTATTGGCTGTCCAATAGATATCGATGTCTGCTTCATCCTCCGTCTTCCTGCTCCTTCGCCATTCCCTCAAAAATCCATAGATAGAGGAGGTACATCCAGGACAGTCTAATCAGTCAAAAAATTTGCCAAACTGCTTTTTTATGATGGCAAGGCTGGCACTAGGTTCGGAGTGTTCACGCGAGTAGTAAGCGGAAACTAGGAGTTGTTACTAGTAGAGTCATCGGGAGCGTCCGCTTCGGGGTCCGAGGCTTTTTATGGATACCTATACAACGAGTCCATTATCCACCATTCACCCCATCGATGTACTATGTGCTCACTGTATTCCGTTCCCGCGTGAAACCCTCGATTCCTATAATAAAAACGTTCTTGAATTTCTCGTTACGGTTGTACTAGGTGCTATATCGTTTGTTCTTATCTGTAACCAAGGGGTTATGAAGTAACCGGTGAGACCCATAGCTATCAAAAAGTGAACAATGTGTAGAACATACCGATAATAGGGTCTGAGTCGCCAAGAACAGGTCGAGTGCAGGGCTTAGATTCAAGTTGGTTCACACCCGTTTTGGCAGCATCGTTATCTAGCTCTGGAGGGTGGTTATTCAACTTTAAGTATTGTTTTACCTTGCTTGTCAAGGTCTCTCTAGGTCTAAAATCTTCGCTTACACAAGCCATGGTCTTCCCGTGATATGACATCATTCTCCACACGTAATCAAAATCCTTGTCGCTGACAATTTCACCCTTTCCATCACGCATCGAATGTCTTTTCACAACGGATATCAAATCGCCAACATATTAAATCCTCTAGATCTACCGGTAATAGAAAGACTGGACATAGCTACTGCCCTCAAAAACCTTAATGATATTTGTGCTTATCTTCCATCTGCATTAGAAAGACAAACTTGGTATATCATCTATATCTTTTGCGCTTTATTGCCACTTCCAACGTTGGCAGATCTACTTGAAAACCTCAAATCTCGATGATGGGGTGGATATAAACAATTTGTATGGAGATGTACCGACCATAATATTAGACACCATGTGTTGAATAGTGGGACTGAGCCATACGTGCGCTTCAACATTGCAACGGATAATGCGACTACCCCGCCATGCCCTGCAGGTATGTCTGCGTATTTCGTCCCTCACACTGTATACATATCCACTGATCACTGGCACTGAGTAGGAAACGACAACCTTAAGAGTACAAAGCCTAAGCGGAAAATTGTGGACGTTGAAAGAGGTGAGGCGAAGAAAGTTCGTGCTTAAATGTAATCAGTTCAGGTAACTAGCAGGATTCTCTTAAAGGCATGTATGTATGATTATGGCGGTGTATGATTATTTTCAAAGTATGCCTCACATAAATTGGATTCTACAAATTTGGGATGGGGATGAACACCGCTTAAGCAAGGTATGATAGTCGTCGACCGACGACCGCTAGTTTATAAAGACAATACCGGGTCGCCTTCCTCAGCGCGTACGAGTGCACGTGATGAAGTATCCTCCTCACAAGTTTCCAGCCAGAATGCTCTGGTCAAGATTCTCTCATTTCACGCTGATACGGACCACCAGACATGCCAGGATAATCTCATACAGGTCTTCAAATGGCCAGTTCAAAATTCTCTTCCTCGGGCGCGAAGAATTTTCGTGCATCATCCTGAGGGAGCTATTCACCGCACAAGGTTTCACCCATGGCCACTTGCCCCGTCTCTGGATCCATTTACCAGCTTCTTAGATGCTTGGACCTCGCTGCGTGTCGCCACGAACTTGTCCTCGTAGGGCCTACGAATATTGTAAATCACGGTATGTCATGTTTGGTACAATAGCCTGTACAGTCGATGTGTCAAAGAAGAAAACTAATCGGCACCTGAAGCTTGACACACCGAGCATTTTTTTTGCTATCCACTCACCAGTTGTCGTCGATGATGTTCTTCATCGCAGCGCCCACCGTCACTGTGGACGCTGTATACTTTTAGTATCTATGTGTAATCAAATCGTTGACTTCACCCTAAAAAACGAAGCTAAAACCACGATGCTCACTAACATAAGGCTTGGGAGAAACGTTACATCCCGGCAATTTGCCAGAGGTGCTTGAATAATCTAGACTCCATTCAACCAAGGATGCGCCAACAACTGTGCAGCAGTTGGACGTTTCCTGGGATCCCAGATCAGACATGCACGCAGGAACCCATCTAAACCATTCAGATCGAGATTTTTAGCTTCTGACACCCCCTTTACGGTTCTTTCAATGCTACACTCGTCCCAGTCTTTGACTTGCACCAGATTCCCTGGGGAAGATCAGACGGCGCGACAAACATGATCAGTATGAAGCGCACCATTCCGATCAAAGTATCTGGATCCATATTGACAATCTACCAAAAAAGTGGACGGTATTTTTCCAATGCGTTCCGTGATCTGTTGAATATGAACAGCATTGTCAAAATTATCCTGCCGGAATAGGTGATAGTCCCCGACTAGTTCGAAGACCTGCATACAGTCATTAAGGAATTCAAGCTTACATATTGTCATGAACTCACCATGCATCCTACGGCCCAGATATCAGATGGCGTCGACCACGAAAAACCCAGAATGGACTCTGGGGGGCAGAACATGGACGGCTGCGAGTCATCCATGTGCTTCGCGTTCGTAAGTTGTGCTATTAGATAGGGCGGTAAGAGGCCAGGAAAAGGGGGGAAAGAGAGACGAAAAAAAACCTTCGCCGTAGTCAATAAGCTTGACATTGAGGTTACTCAAATCTGGTAGCAAGCCTATGTCCGGGAGTGGCTGAGACTTGACAGTGATTATCGGTAGTGAAGTAAGTCCGGGAAGATTGAGAGGCTCATACGTCTCTGCGGGATGTTTTTCAATGTATGTCTATATATCCTTGACGAGCGTTCCGCCGTGGCCGCTAGGCAATACCGACACGATGTCATTGGTTTTAATGTCTGAAAAAGATGTTCATGAGATAGTTCACTGTCCAAACAAGGGTGGAAAACCCCACCGTTATGGACAAAACCACAATCATGGAGAAGCTGGAGCGCTAGAAGTGTCTGCTTTATGATGCGCTTTGTAACTGGAAGGGTGAATACCATCTTTGGCTGTTTCATCCTAAGATCAAGTAGGGACGATCCTAGAACGTCAGTTGCAAAGCACATATGAGAACCCAGTTGACTTTGCGTATTGAAGATTCGGCGGAGATGCAGAAGGTGAGGATATCCGGGGTGATGACGATACTTCTGAATCATTTCTAGGACTGTTGACTCGTGGGAGTACCCAGAAGTGATTTGTTTCGTGTAGTATATAGTAAGTATCTTGACGGCCACGAAAGATGTCCGAGATCTACGTCGCTTCCTATTGATCAGAATTCAGCGACCCAAGAGAGCGAGAATATCCTGGACAACAACGTACTCGCAGAGCCACACGGTTCCAGCTGCAGCGTGACCCAACTACAATGATAGTCAATGAACATGGTAAGAGACTGAAGCACAAGGGGGTTGGGTACCTTGCGAACGACACGGAAGGAAGAAGGCCGTAGGAGTTGACCAAGAGCCACGGGATGATAGCCATACCCAAGCCCTGGATCCACAAAAAGTTCTTCCTCTGGGAATATCGAGCTTAAATCGTCGAATAACATGTTGAGCTGGGTTTGAGCACAGTTTCAAGTAGCAAGTCACCGGGCCGGAACCCGAAAAGTTACTGCGGCGCGTACCCGTGCACGTGATGACGTTTCCTCTTTCCCAGTCAGAATGCTTTGGCCAAGATTCTCTCGTTCCACGCTCATACAGGCCAACAAAAATGCCAGGAGAATCTCATCCACCTCGATTGCAAATGAAA